CAGGTGGGCGACCCCCCCAAACCCCCCCTCGCTGCCCCTCACCGAAGTGGCGCAGCTTGAAGCGCTGCCCGCTCAGGCTCAGGGCGGTGCCCCCGCAGCTGAAGCGGGGCCCAGGCAGCCCCCGGGTGCCCGCCAGGAGCTCCAGGGCCTGGCTGGGGCACAGCTGGTCCCGCCAGCACGCGGGGCCCGCGCTGGGGACAGGGCAGTGGCACCTCTGCTGGGAGCGACCCCTGTGCCAGCCCCCGGCCCTCTGTGCCCGCTGCGTGCCATCTTCCTGTGCCCCCGACCCTCCTGTGCCCCCCATTCCTGCCCCTCCTCGTGTCCCAAATCCCTCTGTGCCCACTCCGTGCCATCCTCCTGTGCCCCTGCGCCCCCCGTGCCCCCGTGTCCCCTCCCTGTGTCCCCCCGTGCTCCATGTCCCCTCCTGTGTCCCCTCCCCGTGTCCCCGTGCCACGCACGTGTGGTACAGGGTGGGCAGCCCGCAGTGGGCACGGCAGTGGGACAGCAGCCTGTCCTCCAGGTCGATGGTGGTGCTGCCGATCTCCTGGTCCGGTGGCACCTTGTCGTGGTCCATGATTGTCACCCGCAGGTCCTTCTCCAGAGGGATGGTGGCCGTCAGCTCGAACATCCTGGTGACAGCAGTGCCATCAGCCCGGGGCTGGCATGGGGACAGGGGAGCTGGGGGCATGGGACATGGCAGGACAGAGAGTGGGACAGGTGGGGACACAGGGACATGGCACAGGGATCTGGTGGCACAACAGCACAGGGAATGGCGACCTGGTGAGCGCCCCCAGTGGCCCCCGGAGGTGACAGTGCCAGGGCCACCCGCCCCGAGGGTGACAGTGCCAGGGCCACCCGGGCGCACCTGCCAAAGACGGGCTCCAGGGTGTTGGGCACGTACTGGTCCCGCTGTCCCAGCGTCTTCTTGCCCAGCGCCACCCGCACGTAGGGATCGCTCTGGGGCACGGAGGGGACACGGCGGTGACACCGCGGCCGCCCCGCCCCGCCCCGCCCGGCCCCGCGGGGGTCCCCGCCGTCCTCACCAGCCCGGTGACATCGCGGGGGGACAGGTCGAAGGCTCGCACCACGTAGACGCGCACCAGGCACGGCTGCGGCTGGCGGGGCGGCAGCCGCTGGAAGCAGCGCGGAGCCGGGGCCGCTCCGGCCTCCTCGGGCACGGGGTAGATGCGGAACAGCCCCTGAGAGACCCCTCGGTGCCCTCCGGGGGTCCCCCGGGTGCTGTCGGGGTCCCACGGGGGGGGTTCACCCACCTTGAAGCTGCCCACGGGCTCGGCGGCACGGCCGGGTTTGGAGAGGGGGAAGGTCTGGCAGAAATCCTGCAGCCCCTCGAACTCGGGCACCGCCTCCAGCTCGCAGCCGTAGATCTGCGGGGCAGGGCCGGCCTCGGGTCAGCCCCGGGCCCGGCCCTGCCTGGGGCTGCTCCCCACCGCGGGCCCGGCCCCTTCTTCGTCCTTGTCCCCATTCCCTCCTCATCCTCATCCCTGTCCCTTTCACAGCTTCGTCATCCCTGTCCCTCCCAGCTTCATCCCTGTCCTTGTCCTCCTCAGTTTCACCCCCACCTTTGTCCCCTCCCCAGATTCATCATCATCTTTGTCCCCACCTTCATCATCATCCCTGTCCCCTCCCCAGCTTCATCCCCGTCCTTGTCCCACTCAGCTTCATCCCATCTTTGTCCCCTTGCCAGCTTCATTCCTGTCCCCATTTCCTCCTCATCCCTGTCCCCTCCCCAGCATCATCATCCTTGTCCCCCTCAGCTTCATCCCCATCCCTGTCCCCAGCTGTCCCTGTCCCCAGCTGTCCCCATCCCTGTCCCAGTGCATGTCCCAGGCTCTGGCTCACCTTCAGTCTGTCCCCATTGGTTCTCCACGGGGATTTGCGGTCCTTGTCCTCCATGGACGCGTAGAATTTGCTCCACCAGTCCCTCTCCTCTTCTTCCTCCTCCTCCTCGTCCTCGTCCTCATCCTCGTACTCCTCCTCCTCATCTTCCTCCTCCTCCTCCTCGTCTTCCTCGTCCTGGTGGGGAGCAGAAGCAGGTGGGCACAGATGGCCCTGGTGGCCCTGGTGGCCCTGGTGGCCACCCCATTCCTGTGCCCACCTCGTCCTCAGCCCGCTTGTTCCTGAGGTAGCCGAGCAGTTCCTGCAGGGAGCAAAGGGCTCTTGGGGAAACTGAGGCACAGGGCCGGGCGGTGCCAGCGCCCAGCGGTGCCAGGGCTGGTGCCAGGTGACCAGGGGGACTCACCTGAGCCATCCTGGCCGGGGCTGTGGCCAGGAACAGGGACCACCAGCGTCTGCAGGGACTGCAGGAGACCCGCACGGAAAGGAGCTGCTCTGAGGGACACAGGGACAGCAGGGATGAGGGAGGGGACAGCTGGGACGGGCTGGGGACAGCTGGGATGGGCTGGGGACACTGGGAATGGGGCTGGGGACACCTGGCATGGGCAGGGATGGGACAGGTGGCATCTGGGATGGAAGAGGTGGCACCAGGGACGGGCAGGGATGGGACGGGCAGTACCTGGCATTGACACAGCCGTGTGACAGCCTTTGCCGGGTCCGCCGGAGCCCAGCAGATGCTCCTGTTGGGGCGGGGGGCAGCGGTACCGGCCCAGCTCCCTGACGCTGGCCTGGCCCAGCAGCAGCCGCCGCTCGGTGCCCGCGCGGTGCCAGAGCCGCAGGCGGATGGGCGGCACGAAGCGCTGCTCCTCGGGCAGCGCCTGCGGGGACAGCGGGGACAGCGCGGTCACCCGCGGCCGCACCCGCGGGCCGCTCCCCTCCCCGTCCCGCCCTCACCAGGGTGAGCAGGAAGGCGTTGCTGGGGAAGTTGGGGTTGGTGGCCATGTCCTCGATCGGGGGGGTCCACAGGCTCTGCTCCCCCCACTGCAGCTCCAGCCGCGGCTCCCGCACGGCCCCGCGCAGCCCCCGCAGCCCCCAGGCCAGCACCTGGCGGGACACGCGGCTCCTGTCACCCGCGGGGCTGCCCCCGGTGGCAGCCTGGAGGTCCTTGTCCCCATCCGTGTCCCTATCCCCACCCCTGTGCTGGCTTTGCCTCTGCCCCCTGTGCCCCCGCTCAACTTCGCTCCTCTTCTTGTCCCTGCCCTGTCCCCATCCCCTGTCCCTGTCCCCATCCCCAGGAGCTTCAGCTCTGCCCACAGCCCGTGCCACGCCCAGGCTCCATCTCCAGTCTTGTCGCCATCCCACCTTTGTCCTTGTCCCATTCCTGTCCCCATCCCTGTCCCCATCCCACCTTTGTCCCTGTCCCCATCGCTGTCCCCAATTTTCCTTTATCCCTGTCTCCATCCCTGTCCCATCCCTGTCCCCATCCCAGCCCCGCCTCCATCCCATTCCTTGCTCCCCCCATGTCCCCACGCTGTCCCCACCCCTGTCCCCTCCCCGCAGGTGGCTCCCACCTCCAGTGCCACCCTCTGCAGGCGCGGCCGCAGCTCCGGGGGGATGCCGAACCCGAGCCCGTCCTTCCTCAGGGGCGGAGGGCCGAGCGGAGCCGGGGACCCGTCCTGCCGTGGGGGGGACACGGCGACAATGCCACCCCGGCCCTGGGTGCCCTCTGTGACACCCCTGTGTCGCCCCTGTCACCGCCTCACCTCGGGCTCGTGCAGGAGCTCGAAGGCCGCCAGCAGCTCCCCGGCCGGGCCCCGCGGCCCCCGCAGCGGGTGGGGCTGGAGCCGGGGCGGCTCCCGGAGCGCCGCGTCCAGCCAGACCCGCGGGGCGCACACGCACCGGCCCAGCAGCGCCGCCGTGCCCTGCGGGGAGAGCCTGAGCACGGGCTGGCCCAGCCGGGGGTGTTCCTGCCCCTCCATCCCTGACCCTGCTGTCCTTCCATCCCTGACACCCCCATCCTTCCATCTCTGACCCCGTCCTTCCATCCCTGAGCCCTTTCCCTCCATCCCTCCTGCCAGCCCTCTATCCATGTCCCATCCATCCATCCATCCATCCATCCATCCATCCATCCATCCATCCATCCCTCTGCTCCCACCCTTCCCTCCTTCCCTCTCTCCTTCCTCCTTCCCTCTCTCTCCACATCGCTCTATCCCTCCCTCCATCCTCCCATCCCTGATCCCCCATCCTTATCCACATCCCATTCCTCATCCCTCCCTCTTCTCCCATCCCTCCTTTTTTCCCTGCCTCCCTCCCTCCCTCCTCACATCCCTCCCTCCCTCCTTTCCCTCCCTCCCGCCGTGCCCGGTGTGTCCCGTACCTGTCCCTGCTGCTCGCACACCTCCACCACCACGGCGGGGGGGTCCTCCGGGACGCCTCGGGGGTCGCCGAACAGCGGCACCCGGGTGAAGAGCAGCGTCTGCTCCCACTGCGGGTCCAGCGCCCCGCGCACCGCCCGCGTGCGCTGGCTCAGGGACACGAACGACACCTGCGCGGTGGCATCTGGGGACAGCGACACGGTCAGCGCCCCGGGCTGCCGGCGGGGCGGCGCTGGGGGGGCGGGGGGGTCCCACCTATGGAGGTCCTGGAGCCGCCGGGCGCCAGATCCAGCGCCTGGAAGATGTAACAGCGGAGCTGGAAGCGGCCGGGCCCTGGGGACAGACGGGGGTCAGGAGGGACTGCGAGCCCCAGACCCCTCCCCACACCTCCCGGTCACTCCCGGTCCCTCCCCGACCACTCCCGGTCTCTCCCGGTCCCCGCCGGCCCCCGGGCTCACGCTGGAAGGTGCAGAGGATGAAGGGGGACGGCTGCTGCAGGGCCACCGCTGCACTGTCCTGGCCCGGCTCCTCGGTGTCCTGGGAGGGGACAGGGCTGGGCTGGGGGGACACTGCTGTCCCCCTGTCCTGTGTCCCATCATGGCCTCGCTCCACAGGGCTCCATCCCTCGCTCTTCCCTCCCTTCCATCTCCCCTCCCTCTCCACACCTCCCGTCCCCCCGACCCCTCCCGTTCTCCCCGGTCCCTCCCGTGCCCCCGGACCCCTCCCGTTCTCCCCGGTCCCTCCGGTTCCCCCGGCCCCGCTCCTACCGGGGCTCCTTGGAGCAGGAAGAGCGGTGCCACGGCCGCGGGCTCGGCGGGCACCAGGCTGCGCTGCCAGCGCCGCCGGCGGCACCGGGGACCGGCCGGGACCTTGGGCTGGAAGGTGCAGCCCCAGAAGCACTCGGGCTGCCAGGCCTCGTCCTCCCACAGCTCCTCGGGGTCCTGGAGGGGCACGGCTCGGGGACAGCGTGACACGGGGACTGCCACCCTCATCCCCATCACCCCCTTCCCTGTCATCATCGTCCCATCACCCCAACCCACCAACCCCATCCCCCATCACCCCCATCCCTGCCACCCCATCCTTGTCACCTCCCTCTGTCACCCCCATCCTGCCACCTCCACCCCCACCGCCCCGTCCCTGTCCCCACATGTGTCACCAGGGTGCTGCGGGTGTCCGTGTCCTGCTCCTGTGTCCAGCTGTCGCTGTCCCTGTGGCGGACCCGGAGCCAGCGCCGGCGCCGCAGGGTGTGGCACTGCTGTCCCTTGCTGTGCCACGCTGCCGGGGGGCTGCCATCCTCCGTGCCCACCCCGTACTGCCAACCTGCATGCACGGGTCAGCTCCTTACCTGTCACCCCGTCCCTGCCACTCCATCTCTGCCACCCCCATCCTGCCACACTCACCTCTCTCACCCCCGTCCCTGTCCCCCCCGTCCCCCCCATCCTGCTGTGCCCACCGGGGTCCCCCCACTCACCGTCTTCATCCTCGGTCCCCTCCATGTCCACGTGCCAGTCACTGGTGACACGCCAGCCCTGGGGACACGCCACCTCCTCCTTCGGTGGCACCGCCACTCCTTTCTGCAAAACCAGGCGGGCGCTGAGCCGCGACACTCCGGTGCCACCTGCGCTGTCCCCGCGCTGTCCCCCACTCACGGCGTCCGTGCTGGCCGTGCCGGCCCAGCCCCCGCTGGGGTCGCGGCTCTGGTTCTCGTAGAGCTCCTCCAGCACCGCGCTCCCCGCGCCCCGCACCGGCACCCTGGGGACAGCGGGGACACGGCTGGTGTCACCGCGCTCCCCGCAGGGACAGGGCTGCCTGGCTGTCCCCTCGGCTCACCGCCGCGGCCGCTCCACGCTCCAGGGCCCGTCCCAGCGCCAGCCCTTGGGGGGCCGCATCTCGTCCGGGGGGGGCGCGGCCCGGCCGGAGCTGTCGGAGAACTCGGGGCGCCCCAAAAGCCTCCGGGGCCCCCATTTCCCCAAGAGCCGCGTCTGGTTCTCGAACTGCGGGGACAGAGGGGCTGGCCTTAGGGGACACTGTGGGGTGCTGTCCCCTCCCGATGCTGTCCCATCCTGGTGCTGTCCTCTCCCGGTGTTGTCCCTCTCCCGCTGTCCCCTCCCCGCTGTTCTGTACCAGGCACTGCCCCCTCCCCGCTGCCCCCTGTGCTGTCCCCACTGTCCCCTCGCTGTCCCCTGTGTTGTCCCCGTGCTGTCCCCACCGTCTCGCTGTAGAAGCGCAGGCTCCCGCCGAGCAGCGGGGCCAGCTCGCCGCTCTCGGCCACTCGCCCCAGCCACAGCCGGACCCGCACCTGTGCCTGGGTGTCCCCTGGGCAGCCCTGTGTGGCACAGAGTGTGGCACAGTATCACCGAGGGGCGGGGACACGCGGGGGACAGAGCGGGGACACGGGAGGACACAGAGCAGGGACTTGGAGGAGATGAGGTGGGAGTAGAGAGGGGACAGAGGGGACATAGAGCAGTGAGGAAGGGGACATGGATGGGCATGGAGGGACACAAAGGGCTGTGGGGACACCAGGGGACACCAAGAGGACACGGAGGGACAGCAGGGGAGCTCCCACCAGGAACAGGGTGAGGATCCTCCCGCAGAGGCGGCCGCAGGCGCCGGGGCCGCGCGGGGAGTGCAGGACATCGGTGGCGGCGACACGGGCCGAGGCCACCCGGAGCTGGCCCCGCAGCAGCCACAGCTGCACGTCGGGGACACCGGCCTGGGGCTGCGGGGACACGGGGACAGGGGACAGAGGTGAGAGCGGCACGGGAACGGGGACAGGAACTGTCCCGAAGGGACCCCGGACACTCCCAGCCTCAGCATTGTGGGGTTTGGATTTGTCCCGTTTTGGGGTTTTGGGTGTCACCTCCACGGCCAGCGCGGCCACCTGTCGCAGCCAGCCCTGGGTCACTGTCGCCAGGGTGTCCCCGTGCCCGGCGTCGCCGCCGCCACCGGCCCCGGCCTCGTTCCGCAGCCGCCGCAGGAGGCGGCGCCGGCAGCTCCGGAGCTGCTGGTCCAGGGCGGTCAGAGCGGGCTGCGCCTCCAGGCACTGCAGGGCGGCCCTGCAGCGCCCAAAACAGCCCAAAATCACCCCAAAACCATCCCAGACTCACCCCAAAAACATCCCAGTCCAGGGCGGCCCTGCAGCGCCCAAAACAGCCCAAAATCACCCCAAAACCATCCCAGACTCACCCCAAAAACATCCCAGAATTACCCCAAAAACATCCCAGTCCAGGGAGGCTCCGCAGCACCACAAACACCCCAAAATCACCCCAAAAACATCCAAAATCACCACAAAACAATCCTAAAATCACCCCAGCCCAGGGCATCCCTGCAGTGCCCCAAAACACCCCAAAATTTTCAGGATTCCCCCAAAATCCCCAGTTTCACTCCTAAAATTCTTTGCCCCAACAATTCCTCGGTTTTTTCCCAAACGCTCCATCCTCCCACCAAAAACCCCGTTTCCACCCCAAAATCCCCACATCCTCCTCATCCCACTTCCACCCCCAATCCCCCTCCTGAATGTCCCTTGTCCCCCAAAATGACCCAAACCCCCAAACCCCCACTGCTAGCCCCGTTTTCCCCCCAGATTCGGGATCCCCTGGCCCCAAACCCCAATTTTGGGATTTGGGATTGCTCACTCGCAGTCCTGCTCCAGCTCCTGCAGCAGCTTTGTCCCGATGTCCCTGACGGTGTCCCCGCGGTGTCCCCGCAGCTCGGCCAGGTTCCTCTCCTGGGAACGGCCCCAAAATGTCCCCACATGGATTTGGGGTCAATCCCACCCCAAACCGTTCCCACATGGGTTTGGGATCAATCCCAGCCAGATTTGGGATCATTCCCACCCAGATTTGGGATCAGTCCCCACCTGGATTTGGGGACATTCCCACCCAGATTTGGGGTCATTCCCAGCCGGATTTGGGGTCAGTCCCACTCGGATTTGGGGTCTCACCAGGCGCTGGCACAGGGCTCGCAGGAGGTTCAGGCTGTCCCAGCGGTGCCCGGCGTCCTCCCACAGCGAGGTGACAGCCACCACTGGTTTGTCCCTGAACCACGGCAGGTGGTGGTAGAGGTTCCCTAAATCAGGGAAAATCGGGAAAATCGGGGTCAGGACGGACCCGGCCGCGCTGCTGAGGGGCAGCTGGGGCTTCCTGGGAGGTGTCACAGGATTATCAGCGATTCCCAAAGTGTCCCCTGATCCGCAGGTGACATCACCCAGGTGACACCCAATCCATGTCCCCGACACCCCAAAACCGCCCCAAAACCGCCCCAGACCAGGGCGTCCTTTTAGCACCCCAAAATACCCCAAAACCACCCCAGAATCACCCCAAAAGCATCCCAAGACACCCCAAGATCACCTCAACCCAGGGCGTCCTGGCAGTGCTCCAAAACACCCCAAAGTAAACCAGAATCACCCCCAAAATCACCTCAAAATAACCCCCAAACCTCCCTAAACACCCTACAATCAGCTCAAAACACCCTAAAATCCCCCCCCCAAACACCCCAAAACCACCCCCAAATAACCCCAAACCTCCCAGTCCCTCCCACACACGCGGATCAAACACTTCAATAACCACCCTAATCAAGCATTCCCAACAATTAATCACTCCCCCGCTGTCCCACCGCCCCTTCCCACTCCCCAGGCACCCGGGAGGTGACAGTGGCACCCCGGCGCTGTCCCCGCTCACCGTCGAAGGCGGGCAGGGCGGGCGCGGTGGCGGCCGCGGCTCGGCCGATGCCCAGCTCGAGGCTCAGCGCCTCGGGGCCGCCTGGCACCATGGTGGCCGAGTAGAAAACCCCGCAGAGCCCCAGCTGGCAGCGGGGCAGGCGGCTCTGCGGCCAGGAGAAACCCCAAAAGCGCTCAGCTGACCCCGCGGGGCGCAGGTGGCACCGGCCCGCAGTGTCCCCCGTGTCCCCACCTGCGCCCGCTCGGCGTCCACCGGGGCCACGGCGTCGCGGTGGCGCCCGGGGGGGGTCCCCAGGTGGGTGCAGAGCTCCAGCAGCAGGCGGCCCCGGTAGACCGGCCCCGAGTCCTGGGAAACGAGCCCCGAGGTGTGGGGTGGCCATGGGACACCCCAAATGTCCCCTTGTCCCCTAAAGTCCTGCCCCAATATTTCCGGTTTTCCCTCAAATGCTCCGTTCTCTGTTTCCTCCATCCCATTTCCACCCCATTCTCCATTCCCCCATCCCATTTTCACCCCAAAAGTCCTACTGTCTCCCTAAAGTCCTGCATTTGTCTCAACAATTCCCCATTTCTCCTTCAAATGCCCCGTTCTCCATTTCTCCCACCCCATTTCCACCCCATTCTCCGTTTCCCCCACCCCATTTCCACCCCATTCTCCGTTTCCCCCACCCCATTTCCACCCCATTCTCCATGTCCCCCACCCCATTTCCACCCCATTCTCCGTTTCCCCCACCCCATTTCACCTCACAAGTCCCGATGCCCTTGAAAACATCCCAAATTCCCTTTCCCATTCCCCAAACCCTCTGAAAAGCCCCACAGCCCCATTCCCCCTCCGAACCCCCTATTTCCTCCCGCATTGCCCCATTCTCACCCCAAACATCCCACGGCCCTCAGAAATCCTTCCTTTGCCCCAACAACTTCTGATTTTCCCCCAAAAACCCCCATTGCCCCTCCAAAAACCCCACTGCCCCCAAACCCTGCTCCGTACCCTGGCAGCGTCCTCCCGGGGGCCGTAGAAGGGCAGGAAGCTGGGCCCGAAGGAGGGGAAAAACCCGGGGGTCCCCTCTGGGGGAAGAGAAAAGGGGGTTCAGGGTGGCTTCTGGCTAATGGGGACCCCAAAAAGGGACAGCCCCGCTCACCCTCGAGCTCGTCGGGGTCCCGGGAGATTTGGGACAGCCTCAGGGTGGTCCTGCCCACGACTTTGCTCCGGCACGACCTGGAGGGAGCACGGTCAGGGGTCCTCCGAACGCGGGGGGTCCCCAAACCCGCGGGGTGTCCCCCAAACCCTCTGGGTGTCCCCTGCTCACCCTCGCAGGATTTCCAGCAGGATTTCGTCACAGATGGGGGGCAGCTGCAGGGACAGAACAGCGCCGAGTGTGGCTGTGCAAATGGGGGCGTCCCCCTTTTTGGGGTGCCCCTGTTTAGGGCCGGGGGCTCTCCTCACCCGCAGGGGGAAGAACAAAACCTCGTTCCACTCGGGGCTGCCATCGGCGGGCACCCAGCTGGTGCAGAGCTGCGGCGGGGACACCCGTGAGCCCCCGAAAGGATCGGGCACCCCCAGAGCCCCTGGGCACCCCAAATTCCCCTCCCGGTGCTCACCGTCCTGCCCGCAAAGCCGACCTGCACCGACACCTTCGGCGAGCCCGCGGTGCCGCCCAGGCACGGCCGCGCCGGCTCCGCTGCGCGGGGATGGCGAGCAGCGACATTTTGGGGGCTCCCCAGATCCTTCCCCACCCCGAATCACCCCCGGTTCCCACTCTGTGGTGAGCAGGGGGGTCCCCAAAGCCACCCTTTGCCCCAAATTCCCAGTGTTCCCACTCTGTGGTGAGCAGGGGGGTCCACAAATCCACTCTTTGCCCCAAATTCCCCCATGCCCACCTTGGGATGAGAAAGGGGGTCCCCAAACCCACCCCCACCCCAAATCCCCGGTGTCCCCACCCTGTGGTGAGCAGGCGGTTCCCCAAATCTGCCCCCCCTCCAAACTCCCGTGTCCCCATCCCAAACCCCGGTGTCCCAACGCCACACTCCGATGTCCCCACCCCAATTCCCGATGTTCCCACCCCAATCCCGGTGTCCCCACCCCAATTCCCGGTGTTCCCACCCCAATTCCCGGTGTCCCCATAAACCCCAGTGTCCCCACTCCAATTCCCCGGTGTCCCCACCCCAATTCCCGATGTTCCCACCCCAATTCCCGATGTTCCCACCCCAATTCCCGATGTTCCCACCCCAATTCCCGATGTTCCCACCCCAATTCCCGATGTTCCCACCCCAATTCCCGATGTTCCCACCCCAATTCCCGATGTTCCCACCCCAATTCCCGATGTTCCCACCCCAATCCCGGTGTTCCCACCCCAATCCCCGGTGTCCCCACCCCAATTCCCGATGTTCCCACCCCAATTCCCGGTGTCCCCATAAACCCCAGTGTCCCCACTCCAATTCCCCGGTGTCCCCACGCCACACCCCGACGTTCCCACCCCAATTCCCGTGGTCCCCACCCCAGTTCCCGATGTCCCCACGCCACACCGCGGTGTCCCCACCCCGCGGCAGGTCCTCGGCGCGGAACACGCGGATCTGCAGAGTGGTGGCGCAGGGCGGTGGCCGCAGCAGGTTGGCCTCCACATCCTCGTCCCCCGCCGGCACCTCCTGCTCCTGGGGTGCAGGGATGGAGGTGACAGCTCGGGGACCCCCCCCCCAGCAGGGATTTTGGGGTGCGGGGGAGGGCGGGGCGCTCACCTGGGCGCGCTCGCCGGCGCGGCGCACCACGAGGCTGACCTGCAGCAAGCCCTGCGAGCGGCCGTCGGGGTGCCGCGGGTGCTGCAGGCTCAGCCACTTGCCGCTCAGGCTGCGCCCTGCCCCGCCGGGGACACAGCGGGTCACCTCCTCGGTGGCACCGGAGGCACGCCTGAAACCCCCCCAAAACGCACGGGGCTCCCCCAAAATGAGGCTTCACCCCTGGCTGGTGCTGGTGTGAAGTAGCGCTCAAAATGTGGCAGCCCAGTGGCACCACAGGGCATGCCTAAACCGCCCCCAAAATGCACGGTGTGCACCCAAAATTAAGTTTTACCCCTGGCCAGGGCCTGCCAGAAACACCCCCCAAAAGGTGGCACCCCAAAATATGTCACCCAGTGTCACCCCAACCCTGTCATTACCTGGGGCAGAGTAGACAGTGCCGATGTCGAGCTGTGGGAACGGCAAAGGAGGTGAGAGTGCTCTGACAGCCCATTCCCAGCGCCCTATTCCCAAAATCCCAATCCCAAACCCCATTCCCAAACCCCAATCCCAAACCCCATTCCCAAACTCCCATTCCCAGCGCCTTATTCCCAAACCCCAATCCCAATCCCCCACTCCTCACCTCGAAGATGCCGATGACGGGTTTGGTGCAGATGTTTGGTGAACGGAGCACCTGGGACAGGGAAGGGGACACGGCTGTCCCTGTGTCCTTCTGTCCCTGTGTCCCTGTCCCCCCAGTGCCACCTCTCCCCCCACCTGGATCTGGATGGGCTGTGCCACCAGCTGCTCCGGAGTCAGGCGGAAATTCTGACAAAACACCTAAAACCCCGAGAAGGGACAGTGAGGGCGGGCCGAGGGACAGTGGCGGTGCCCGTGTCCCCTGGGCGGTGTCACCTCGTCGAAGTAGGGGTTGTTGCCGCTGCGGCTGCGGCTGCGGAAGATCTGCTTGCCGATCTGCACCCTCACCACGGGTTTGATGTCATTGCCCGGCAGCTGGCGGCCCTTGATGACCCTCACCCAGACCTGCGGGGTGGCACGGACGTGGTGGCCTCGAGGGGACGCCACCCCCCGGGTGCCACCGTGCCCGTGGGTGCCGTACCTGGAAATCCTCTTTCCTGGCCGTGGGTGCCACCCCGGCTGGCTCCAGGGCCACCTGGTCGTGTGTGCTGGTGACAGGGACGTCCTCGGCGGCGCCGCGCAGGTCGTGGTAGCAGCAGAGGGTGGCGGTGCACTGCAAAGGGACAGCGACACGGGGACAGTGCACCCCGGGCTGCTGCGGGGTGCTGCGGGGCAGGGCTCACCCCCGTGGGCCGCTCGCGGTGGTCCAGCAGCGGGATGTCCCTGACGGCCATCGGCAGGCTGGGGTTGGCCACCAGCTCGCCCAACGACAGCGTGGTGGCACCCAGGTCCCTGCGGGAGCCGGGGACACGGTGAGGGTGGCCGCGGTGAGGGGGTGGCCGCAGGGTGTCCCCTCAGGGCTGGCACTCACCCCTGGGGCAGCAGGCAGTCCCCACGTCGCAGGCGCAGGGCCAGCGTGTCGGTGGCACTCAGGGGACACGTGTCCAGCGGCCACACCAGCTCCTGAGGGGGGTGACACGGCTCAGGGGGGTGGCCCGATGTCCCTGTGCCACCACGGGTCACCCCGGGGCCGCCTCACCTCATTCCAGGTGAGGCTGCGCTCCTCGGGCACCACCTGGGTTCTCCTGGGGACACCTGTGTGCGACAGGAGGGGTGGTGGCACCTCGGGATGGGGACATGGGGCACTGGACACTGCACGGGCAGCATGCCGGTGCCACCCGGTGCCATGGGGACAGCCCCTGCGGTGTCCCCAAGCCCTCGGTACCTCGGAAGCAGACGGACAGCAGGACACCGGGACCGAAGCCGGTGGCCCCGGGAATGTGGACGGCGACGACGTGGCACCGCAGCATGGCCACGGAGCCGGGACAGAGCTGTCACCAGGGGGTGCCACCAACGGGCCACCCCCGAGGTTCGGACACCGGCGGCAGGTTTGTCACCTCGGGGGTGCCACCGATGGGCCACCCCCGAGATGCTGTCACCAGGGGGTGCCGCGGCAGTGCCAGCCCCAGGTGCCACCGGCCCCGTGGCCGGCAGCGCGGCCGTTGGCTCGCCGTGTCCGAGTGCCAACGGCGGCTGGCGGCGCGGGGACTGGCGCGCGGGCGGCGCCGTCACCGCCACCCGCGTCCCCGTGTCCCCACGCGGGACGCTGCGTGACCCCGCGGGAGCGCGCAGTGTCCTGCGCGGGGGCTGCATGAGCCTGGAGTGTCCCTTCCTGCGGGGACAGCCCTGGGGACATCCCAGAGACATTCCCGGATTCCCGGGTCCCTTCCCGCGGGGATATTCCTGGGGACATCTCAGAGACACTCCCGGGTCCCCACGGGGACATTCCTGGGGACATCCCAGGGACATTCCCGGGTTCCCGCGGGGACATTCCTGGGGACATCCCACAGACATACCCGGGTTCCCGCGGGGACATTCCTGGGGACATCCCAGGGACATTCCCGGGTCCCCGCGAGTCCCTTCCCACGGGGACATTCCGCGGTCCCGCGGGAGCGCGCCCGGCGCACGAACGCTGAGGGGAAGCGGGAGCGCGCCCCGCGCACGCGCGCTGAGGGGAGGCGGGAGAGGGCGGGAGCGCGCTCCGCGCACGCGCGCTGGGGGGCGGGCGGCGGCGCCGTGAGGGCAGGGCGAAGGGGGCGGGGCTCCCGCCATGTCGCAGCGGGCCGGGGACCGCGACCGCGACCGGGAGCGCGAGCTGCAGTGGTCGGCCCGCAGGATGGGCACCTCGCTGCTGCTGCAGCTGTCGGCGCACGAGCGGGAGCTGGACCTGGTGTGCCTCGACCACAGCTACGCCAAGCCCTGGAGCGCGCACCCCGACGCCAGCGCCGCCCGGCCCGCCCGGCTCCTCTTCCTCACGCCGCGGAGGCACCTCGGCAGCGCCCCGTGAGAGCCCCGAGCGGCGGAGGGGACGGCAGGGGCTCGGAGGGGGAAACTGGGTGGGGGTCCTGTGGGGCTGAGCGGCCTGTGAGGGAAAGGAGGGGATCCTGTGGGGCTGTGAGGGGAAAGGAGAGGGTCCTGTGGAGCTGAGGGGGAAACTGGGGGGGTCCTGTGGGGCTGAGGGGCTTTAAGGTGAAAGGAAGAGCTCCTGTGGGGTGGGGGGAGCCGTTTGGGGTCTGCAGGGTCCTGAGGGGTGGGGAGGGGCAGGGCAGGGCTGTGAAGGAGGAGTTGGGAGGGTCTGTGGGGCTGGGGGTAGTCATAAGGGCGAGTGGGGGAGTTGTGAGGGGGAAACTGGGGGTCGGGGGGTTCTGATGGGTTAGGGGGCGGTGAGGAGTCTCGGTTTGGGGTGACCAGAGGTCTCGGTTTGGGGTGTCCAGGGGGGTCCAGGCACCATGGTTGGAGGTCCATCATTTGTGGGCTCCAGCAGTCTCAGTTTGGGGCTCCAGGGGGTCTCTGTTTTGGGGCTCTAGGTTTGATGGTTCAGGATGCTTGGCTTGGGGCTTCAGGGAGATCGGTTTGGGGGTGCAGGATAGGTTTGGTTTGGGGGCCCAGAGGTCTCAGTTTGGGGTGTCCAAGGTGCTTGGTTTGGTGCTCCAGGGGCCCCCAGTTGGTGGCCCTGGAGTACCGAGATCCCTGGGTCAGTTCCACCCTGTGTATCCCTGGGACCACTGCCCAAACCCCCTGGAACCCCAAACCTCCCTGGAGCTCCAAACCCCCCGGATCCCCCAAATCTCCCATCCCCAAACGCGGCGGACCCCGGGGTGCCCCATCCTTGCCCTGACCCCCGTGTGGGTGGCAGGGAGGCCGATGTCCCCATCGACGTGGAGACGGTGACGCCCACGCCGGTGCCGCTGTACGACAACCAGAAGGCTCGGAGTGTGATGAACGAGTGCGAGCGGCACGTCATGTTCGCCCGCACCGACGCCGACGCGCCCCCGCCGCCCGACGACTGGGAGGAGCACGTCAACAGGTGGGAATAGGGGCTGGGAATGGGAATGTGGGCTGGGAATGGGAATGTGGGCTGGGAATGGCAGGGGATACGGGCTGGGAGTGGGAATGTGGGCTGGGAATGGCAGAGGATACGGGCTGGGAATGGGAATGTTGGCTGGGAATGGGAATATGGGCTGGGAGTAGCAGGGGATGTGGGCTCGGAATGGGAATGTGGGCTGGGAATGGCAGGGGATACGGGCTGGGAGTGGGAATGTGGGCTGGGAGGAGCACATCAACAGGTGGGAATAGGGGCTGTGAATGGGAATAGGGGCTGTGAATGGGAATATGGGCTGGGAGTGGCAGGGGATATGAGCTGGGAATATGGGCTGGGAATGGCGGGGGATATGGGCTGGGAGGAGCACATCAACAGGTGGAAATGCCAGGGAATCTGGGCTGGGAATGGCAGGGAGTGCCAGGGAATCCAGGCTGGAAGTGCCAGGGAGTGGGAATATGGGCTGGGAATTCCAGAGAAAGGGGATCCAAGCTGGGAATTCCAGGGAATGGGAGTCCAGGCTAGGCGGAGCACATCAAGAGGTGGGGTGGCGGTTCCAGAGCAGAGGAAGCAGGGATGGGTTGGTGGTTCTGTGGGTGACCCTGTGTGTCTGTCCCCGCAGGACGGGCTGGACCATGGCCCAGAACAAGCTGTTCAACAAGATCCACAAAGCACTGCAGTCGGACAGGCTGGCCCGCCTGGCCAACGAAGGGGTGAGAGGGGCTGGGCTCCAGCCTTGCCACAAAACCTGGGGTATTGTGGCCCTGGGGTAGCCTTGAGGAGCAGCTCTGGTCTCCCCTGAGCTGTGGTTTTTATGGGATTATAGGAAGGACCCACGTGGATCATCAGGGCAATCCCTGGGAGCCCTGCAGAGACACCCCAAAATCCAAGGGCTCCTGGAGCTCCAGCAGCCTCGGGGCTGTGCCCATTCCCTGGGCAGTGCCCACACCCTCTGGGGCAGAACCTTTCCCAAAACCCAGCCTGAACCTGCCCTGGCCCAGCTCTAGCTGTTCCCTGGGTCCTGTCGCTGTCCCAGGGATCTGAGGGCTCCCCTCAGCCTCGTCCTCCTCAGACAGATGTTGTCCTCACTCCAGGTGTTTGGGCAGCCCACGCTGGCATTTCCCTAGGGATGGGGCTGCAGTGCCATGCTCCATTTTCCTTCCCCTGAACTGTTTTTTGGGAATTCTTGCTTCCAGGCCTGCAACGAGCCCGTGCTGAGGAGGATCGCTGTGGATAAATGTGCCCGCAGGGTGCGCCAGGCCCTGGCCAGCGTCAACTGGGATACCAAACTCATCCAGTGGCTCCACACCACGCTGGTGGAGACCCTGAGCCTGCCCGTGCTGGCTGCATACCTGGATGCCCTGCAGACCCTGAAGGGAAAGGTGCTGAAAGCAGAGGGAGGCTTGGCTGTCACAGCTGGCAGAGGGGAAAGGCTGGAATTGTTGTCCCGTGGTTTGGGTGCGTTTTCTCAGTCCCCCCTGGCCTGTGCTTGCAGATCCCCGCGCTGATCGACAGGATGCTGCTCTCCTCCACAGCCAAGACGGGAGCAGCAGGGGCTGAGGCGCTGTCCCTGCTGCTCAAGAGACCCTGGGACCCAGCAGTGGGTGTCCTGTCCCATAATAAACCAGTGAGTGCCCCAGGGGGTGTGGGGGTCCCGTGGCAGCTTCAGTCTTCCCATGCTCTGCCTTTGTCCCCTCCCTGGGGTCTTCTGCCCCTGATTTAGACCTGCTCCTTGAATGGAAGGGACTCACCAGGTTCGTCAATCCAATCCCCAAGACACCCCAAAATCCCACCCAGAGCATCCTTGGGAGCCCTGCACAGACATCCCAAAAATCCCGCCCGGGCATCCCTAGGAGTTCTGCACAGACACCCCAAAATCTCCTCCTGGGAGCCCTGCACAGACACCCTAAAATCCAAGGGCTCCTGGAGCTCCAGCAGCCTTGGGGCTGTGCCCATTCCCTGGGCAGTGCCCACACCCTCTGGGGCAGAACCTTTCCCAAAACCCAGCCTGAGCCTTCCCTGGCCCAGCTCCAGCCATTCCCTGGGTCCTGTCCCTGTCCCAGGGAGCAGAGGCCAGATCTGTCCCTCAGAAAGGACAGCTTCTGTTGGAGAAATTCTCTGGGTGTCCTGAGGGAGCTTTGGCTTGGGAAAACAGTTAAAGAGCTGTGCAAGATCCTTCCCTCTTCCCTGTGGGGCAGGGAGGCCTTTCCTGGGAACACTGCTGTCCCTGACACGGCTCCTGTTGGACCTTGCAGAGCAAACTGCCCGGATCCCCCCTGATCCTCATCGCTTCCTCCGGCCCCGCCAACTCCCTGTTCCCCACGTCCCGACGGCACCGCTTCTGGCAGTCCCAGCTCTCCTGCCTGGGAAAGGTCTGTGGGGCTGGATCTGTGGGGCTGCCTCTGGGGTTCCTCTGTGGGGCTGCCTCTGTGGGGTTCTTCTTTGGGGCCACCTCTGTGGGGTTGCCTCTGTGGTGCTGGATTTGTGGGGCTGCTCTCTGGGGTTCCTGACGCTGTCCCCAGCCCTGCTGGCTGGTCCTGATGCTGTCCCCAGCCCTGCTGGCTGTTGCTGATGTTGTCCCCAGCCCTGCTGGCTGTCCCTGATGTCCCCTTTCCCTCGCAGGTGATCCCCATCTCCACGTCCCTGCTGAACAATGGCAGCGGAGTGGGGGTGCTGCAGTGCCTGGAGCACATGATCGGTGCTGTCAGGGGCAAGGTGGCTGAGGTGAGGGACAGCAGGAGGTCCCCTGTGCCCCCTGCCCCATGCCCAGGGGAGCTGTGCCACCCTGGGCATCGTCCCAGTGTCTGTCCCAGTGTCTCCAGCTTTGTTTTGTGTCCCACAGATCCACAACCACTTCTCTCACAAGCAGATCATCCTGATCGGGTGGAACACGGGTGCCTTGGTGGCCTGTCACGTGAGTGTCCCAGTGCT